TTAACCTCGGTTAGCATGATGTATTCCTTCTTCAAAGTATTCAAGAGCCAAGAGCTTCAGATGTTTTTGTCTTCGCCTGGGCCAAGCTGCTAGTCTTGTGCGAACTCCTCTTTTGCCTTCTTAGCCTCTGCCTCTAGGCCCTTATTAGCTGAGGCCAACTCCTAAACTCGAGCCTCTAGGTCATACACTTGGGCCATGATGTCATCATTGGTAAAGGACAACTCAAAAACCTTGAGTACAGACACCCTCAAAGACTTATGAGCTTACTCAGTCGTGCTCTCCAGAGCTTGGACCTTGTTTACTAGAGAACTTACATGAATGGCTAGCTGAAAAAAGCACAAGGATAATTCAAGGTTAGCAAAAAATATTTACTTAAAGAAAAAAAAAACTCAAATAGATCAGGACTTATTGAAGCTGTGACTTATAAGGTGGTTGTAGTAGATGTGTGCAAAGGGATCATTGAAGCCTCCTGAAAGTCAGGCTCAGGGATGATCAAGGCAATGGTCTCAATGGCAAGGCTCACATTCCTGATAAGCGAACCCTTTCCCTTCTCAACCTTTGTTGGTAAACCCTCTACACGTAAACGAGGACTTTTCTCGATAGAACGTGAAGGGAAAGACCCTTGCAAGAGAGGAGCTATGGACTCTAGAGCTCCAACAACCTCTGTTGATGAAGGAGAGGATGAGGCTCTAGCACGACAAGTGGACCCCTCAATTTGAGGAGGGGAGACCCCTTGAGAAGAAGAAGTTAGAGCTGCCTTCTATGAAATCAGCGGAGGTGAAAGGATCACTTGGGGAGGAAGAAGTGGTGGAGAAGGTGGGGCACTTCTATCCTCTACACCTTTCAAGGAGGGTCAAGCTCGGATCTTGCTCCAACCTTCTATTTTTCAACAGCTTTGTCGTTCTTCATTTGGGATATTTTAGCCGTCACTACCTTAGGATCAGGAGCTATTAAGCTGGTACCTGGGAAAGTAAACAGGTCAACTAACACAGAGAGAAAGCAAAAAAAACCAGAGATAAAAGAGGGAGAGTCTTACCAATAAGGTCTTCTACACCGACTATGGAGAGGGGAATTGGAGTCTTTACTCTCACCTCGGGAGGACTAAACCAAGCTTAGTAAGTACCTTAGGCTTGAGAAGTTTGGAGTATTTCTCTAGCTCGCAACTCTCCTAGCCCAACAAAATTATCTTGTCCTCAGCACTAAGGTCGGGTCGAATACCTGAAAAGAATAAGAGAAGCAAGGTCAACAAAATGAAACACTGAGGTTAGAACAAGCCTATTCAGGCAAAACTTACCCAGATTATCAGGGGCAGACCAAGCTCGAAGTACAGGAAGTGTCTCAGCTGCATCTCTGGGATTATACTCTCATTCTTTCCCACACACGAAAAAAAAAAGCTTCTTCCAACCCTTATGGGAGCTCGAAAGGTCAGTTATAAGAATTCGGGTCTTCACCCATTTAGAAATGTACAAGAAATCATCAGAGGGGGTGTACTTAACATTGAAGAACTTCATGAGCAAAGGTACAGTTGGGACACCAAGTTTTTTTTCTTGAAGAAAACATGAAGACCCACCAGAACACCCCCAAAGTTGGAGGAAAGTTGAGCAATGTAGACGTTGAAGTGTTGAAGAACACTTTTAAGAAAGGGGTGCATAGGAAAACGAAGGGCGTTCTCGAAAGAAGCCACAAATAAGCAAACTTTCTTAGGAACCTAGGAGTCATATCGAATATCCACATATGGGCACCAATACTGTATACCTAGGGAAACCCAAATTGAGCTGAAAGGATGCTTATAAAAGGAGGGGTGACCTCACTAAAACCAACGTGGTCTGAAGCTCTTGGGGCCACCTCTGTCTTCCCAGCACTACCAAAAGCCCCAACATCACACGCCTTGGATTTCCCTTTCTAAGATCTCTTAGACTTCGAAATAGGGGAAGATGACGGAATAGGGACATTGACCTCTTCCATAGCATCAATAGAATCAACACCGAAAAAGTTATCTATCTTATCACCTACATTGCCTAAGTCACCCTCCTCCAGCTCAAGAGACCTCTCGCCCATGGCGAGAGAAACAGATGAAACTGTAGCTCCTGAAGAGGCAGACATGATAGGGCAAGAGAAAGAAAGATTAAAAGAGTTGTAAAGGGGGGGGGGGAACACAAGTAAAGAAATCCCTAAGAGCCCAAGCGTCAAGACACCAACAACCGAAAAGAAAGACTCTAGCAGTAGAGTACGGATCCAAGAAGAGAGGATGAAAAGACAAGGTAAGACCTCTATTCCTAAAGTAACAAAAATGAAAAGTCCAGAAATTAAACAATCACCTCAAATTCGAGGGATCTAGAACGAAAGAGAAGAAGAAAGAATTGATCAAGGGACGTGCCTAGCTGGGAGTCTAAACAAAGTAGGCCAACCGCACAGAACCTTCGAAGAAAAATTGGGACTTCTTTCTGAAAACCCTAGATCCTCAGCAAATTTGGGAAGATGAAATTGCAAGGGAAGAAGAGAAGAAGGAAAGCCTGAAGACAGAATGTGAAGAGGGTTCGAGAAAATGAAAGACGATTTTTTTTGTCTAAAATAACATTTAAAACCAAGCATACGTGGACTCTCGAAAAAAGGGATGTGCATGAGAAACGAGGAATGAATGATTACATGTTCGCCATAATTGTCAGAATGAAGTCCCATCATGCGCAAATCAAGGTCGACCCCAGGTAACCTCGCTCATCTCAATCATGTCATAATCCTCGCTCAAATCAACCTGTTTGACCAGGGACTAGGGAGAAACTGATGATACCACAAAAATACCTAAGGTTGAGCTCGATAACCTAGCTCATGCTACTCAAGTCGGGACCTCGACCTTAAACCTCAACTCCCTATGTCTTTATCTCGAGGAAAGCTGTGCAAAAGACAGCTGGATCCCACCGAGTCTCCATTTTTTGTAGCATCAATTACTTAGCAGGCGCAAGTTTTGTCGCGCAATAGGGGCGACCGTTACAAAGGAGGGGCGAGAATCTTGCCTCAAATCAAGCAAGACCTAGGGATAACTATGAATAGGAGACGAAGCCCTTAAAAGTAAAAAAGAAGGAGGAGCCATTATAGCCTCATGAAATACACTCTATAAACTTCACACATAAATTAATATATTCAGGAGCAAGATACTCCCTTGAAAGTGGATTAGTCGAGCTTCCGACCTGGTGAACCACTATAAATACTCTGTATAATTACTCACTTATTCCCAAATCCTATTTCCTAAAGTTTTGGAGTTCAGACTAAGCTATATCTAACTGTTTAGTACACATTATAGTCGCATCACTACTTAATCGTGTTAAGAACATCATCAGGGATAATGTGCATAATTTTAAACAATAAGTAGACAAGATGTTTTTAGCCAAAACCTAAGGGATAAAAAATAGGTAACCCCTATTAATGGCGTATTTTTATATCACCATCCCAAGGCCCATTAAACACATATTCCCACCCTGAGTCGATTATCACCGTTCTCTAGAACTTTGAGGTAGTCATGTTGGAGTCATCTTATTTTGAAGTTAGTAAGAAAAATTATAATTCTGAGTGTGATTGTTTATAATTTATAGATGATCTCACACATTTTGAATTTAAGTAATACTTAGAAAAGAATATGTTACGAGTAATGCTATTGAGACATAATTTGAGGACAATGAGCTATCACAAATAAAATGATAATGGATTCATTTAATGTTACAATGAGACCCATCATTAAATATATTTCACTGTCATTTCATTGGTGACAAATCATTATTTTTTCAAATTATGTCCCAATAGTATTAGTGATATGTTACACAAGTTAAAAAGTTGAAATTTATATTCATATCATGTTTTTAAATGATTTAGTGCCACTGAAAAAGTTGATGAGACATTCACTAATTGTAAAGATATACATTTGTGAGTTATAATTTTTTGAATTGTATAGCATTATTTAAAACATGTAGAAGTAGTAATAATAATAATAATAATAAGAATAATAAAAGAAGAACAGTTAAGACGGCTGTCCATTAACAAGAAGGATGAATTAGAGTAGTCAGATAGAGAAGACATTCATACTATCCAAAGAAGCCAATGAACAGTTAGCTGGAATGCATCCAACGAAGAAATAGTTCTTTTTATTATATCTTAATGTCCAATAATAAAGAAATAGTTAAGCAGGTGGTTTAGGGACCCATTCCATACATATTACTCCACAAATCAAACAACTAGTTTAACACAAACTTCCAATCCATTCCCCTACATCTACGCCTCTAATGTCTCTTCTATCTTTTCTCAACCCACAATTATAATACTTTGACTGTTCTCCCCTTTCAATTATTTTCTTAGTAATTATTTTTGGGGTACATGTAAAATATCTGTAAATTAATGAGTGTGCAACGTATTGTTGAAACAAGTGTTAGTCATCAATGAAAAAGAAAGGGGGAAGATACCAAATCCTCCTTTATTTATTTATTAATAATATAGATCATGAATTAAGCCTAGATTATATTCAATCATGTATTACTCTAAGAATCATCTAAAAGTGCACTTATAATATTTGACGCTCCCAGCTAAAAAATGAGAGGGGCAATTCTGGTCATATTTGAATATAACCATCTCTTATAAGTTTTCTTTGAGTGTTATATATAAGGTTTTTTTTTTATCTCTCGTAGTGAAATTATATATAAATGTGTTAATCATGCCGTGTTATTTTTAAGTAAAATAAGAAATTATTTAATTCTACAATAACTCATATAATAATATTTAAAAAAATTAAAAAATTATTACTCTTTAATCGTGTTATTCAAATCTAATCTGACCCATTTAATTTACATGTTAATTAAACTGATCATTTTGAATTTTATGTTAGGTCAAGTTCGTATCAATTTGAGTTCGAGGATAAAATTGACACATCGTAATAGTAAATAAATAAATAATATATTATTTGACGCCTAAATTATAAATAATATTCATTGCTAATGTAACGGTGATAATATATTTAAGCAATAAAATTGTTAACCCAATTTCCAAAAGCACAAACGGTCAAACAACCAATACCCGTGAGCACACTGCCCCACATCGGCGCAAATTAGCACCCCCCAAATCCAATTAACACTCAATACACACGCAGGTGGCGCGTCGAACAACCTCCGGTAGATCCACCCCTCTGCTCCACTCTCCAGCGGCAGAATCGTAAACCAAAACCAACCCTTCTCTCAACCCTCTAACACTCCTCCCACTCCTTCTCAACAAATCATCAATACAACCCATCACTTGTATCAAAGCCACCTTATCCCCAACTCCAACACAGCTAAACCTCACCGTGCTGTCCAATCTAACTTGCGCCGGCAGTGGCGGACTCTTCAACCTACACCACTCTCCAAACCCCCCACCACCGCCGCCGTTGCATTGCCTTGACCCGTTGAATTTCCAGAACGACAGCTCCACTGCGTGGCTTGTTAGCACATACACATGCCCTTCTGCTGCACACGCCGCCACCACACAACCACCACCGGGCACCGAGCGGCTCTTTAGCCACACACGCGCCGCCACATCATACAAATCCATTGAGCTTGCGTAAACATGCGCCTCACCTCCGGCAGCACGAGTGGAAGACCGTGGAACACTATTACTGTCCGACGCGCCTATTTTAAGACCCCCAATTACATAAAACACTCCGTCCACGGATGCGCCAATACACCCATATCGCTTCCTCGCAGCGTGTGCCACTACGCGCCATGTATTACTGTCAGGGTCATACTCCTCCAACTCCGCGGATCTGGCGGCGCCGCCAGCAATGTAGATTTTTCCGGCGACAACAGCGGTGGCGAATTTCTTTCTTTGGATGAGCATTGCTTGTTTCTGGGTGACTGTTCCGGTCCATGTGTCACATTGGAGCATGGCGGTCCGGCCAATGATATAAATTGACCGCCCAATCGCTGCCAAGCGCGCGTGGGAGAAAAGAGAGAGGAAACATCCTGGGGAAACGACGTCGTTAGGGAGGAAAGAAGCGGTTTTCCAAGAAGTATCGTAGCCAAGGCGGTGACTGGCGGTGTAGAGGCATGAATCGACGATGGAGACGGCGAAGACGGTGAGGCGGAGATGGCCGTGGCGGTGACGGAGGTTGTAGAAGGCGGAGGAGTCCAAGAGGTGGGACCAGCGGCGGCAGACGAAGGAGATGGAGGGGAGAGAGGAGTGGGGGATTCTGGAGAGGCATTCAAGGAGTAGGTCGTCGGGGAGGGAGAAGATGGTGGTGGTTTGGTGGTGGAGGAAGGTGGTGGTGGTGGTGGAAATGGGACAAGGGTGGTGGAGGTTGTCATGTGGATGTTGTGGGTTTGGGAAACAAGATTTCATGAGCCACGAGAAGTGGCGAGAGTTACAGCTCTCTGACATGGGAGATCTCTCTCCCACTTATCTCTCTGGGAATTAATTAAACTGGGAAGGTAGGGGCCTTCGAAATTTATTTTCTTAGTGGAGTGATTTGCTACGGAGATTACAGCTGCCATTGGACATCACCACGTTTTTGTGTTTTTTTTTTTTTGGGTAAATTACATCCACGTGACCTTGAAGTTTGGTCAAATAACAATGAGACCCTTCATCTATAAGAAATAACACTGCACTCCTTTATATAACTGGAGTGGGCTAACATGAACCCAACTCGACTTTTTTAGTATCTGAGTTGAAATTTTTAATATTTGGATTAGGATTGGTAAAAAATTTAAATCCGAATTAATTTTGAGCAATACTCTAGTTGGAGTTTTGGGTTGGACGACTTCAACCCGAATTCGAATCCAAATTATGAAACCCGATTCAACTCGAAATTTCAAAAAATAAAATAAAATTTCACACATAAAATGTTAGGGCGACTGTGACACATTTCTTATCCATTCCTACCCTTATTTTTTGTTCAATTTGATTATGATTAATAAAAAACTCGATTCAACCTAAATTACAACTCAAATTATTTAGGGAGGGATTATTCCCACTCCACAATCTCCATTCCTACCCTATGTAATTTCTTATTATCAAACTATTAAATCCACCATTTCTATACTCACCCCATTAGTAATTAAGTTCACCTAGTATTACATACACTCCCTTTAATAAGTAACCTCACTTTATATTTGTCACAAAAATACTTTTTAATATGAATTTCTCTAGTGAGATACATGTTAGTATTACTTCTCAATTTAATTTTATGCTTGATTTCATGTTTGTTATATGAATTTTTATTATTTTCAAAAAAAATTTATATCTCTGTCAAGCATACATTATTTGTTCTTTTTTTTATCTTATTAAGGTTTTGTATATATACTTGTCATTTTTTTTTCTTGTTCAATTTTGTGTCTATGCTTGATGCTTTTTTTTTTCGTATTCAATTTTACGTCTTGTAGTTTTACTTGTTCCTTTAATATTTGCTTGATTTTTTTCCTTCTTTTTTTAGTTTACTTCTTTCTTTTTATTTTTTTCTTTGTTTCGTTCTTTTTTTTTTGTTTCAGCATGCTTGTTTTTTTTAGTTGTCTCGCTTTTGGGTTTTTTTCCTTCTTGTTTCGTAAATATATTTATGCATTCAAACTAACTTTCTTCTTTCATTATTTTTTTTTCTTACGATGACTTCTTTCATTAAAGAGGTGTACATAAAATGAGTAACATTAACTATTAATGGGGTGTATGTAGCATGAGATGAGTTTAGTTATAAATGGGGTGAGTATAGAAATGGTGAACTTAGTAATTTGATAATGAGAAATTAAATGAGATGAGAATGGAGATTTGTGGGGTGGAAATACCCCCACCCAATTATGTAACTCGAGTTCAAAAATTTAATCACGTGCTAACCTTGAACTAGAGTTATTCGAGTTGAGTTCGCATTAAAAATTTCATATCTTGGGTTGATAGCAAACTCCCATACATTATGTCCCATGACTCCTCCCTATCATCCCTAAACAACAAAATAAGAGACCCCCACCACCGATGTTTATTGAACACCCTCACCATCGCCGTTTTCTGCCAAAGAGCGCCACAACTATAACTACCCCCAACTCATCCTCTGACTAAGCCACGCTAGCCCCTAAACACCCTTCCTCGAACACCCTGTAAATATCCTGACAGGACTTTAGGCAACTCAACAGTCGTAAATTGACGCATGAATCTTTGTAGCCGTTAAGGAGTGTAAAAGGCCCTTGGAGGAGGCGTCGAGAAGTTACAGCCAGGAGGATCGAGTACGCCCTCAGAGCCTAGCATTAAAGGGGAGATGATAGCTTATTAAATAGGGTCTTGAGTGGCTGTAAGTCATTAATGAGCATCCAAATCCTCGAGAAATGTGAAGACAATCATCATTACAAGACATTAATTATCGTTACGCCCACTTGATGTCCTCGGGAAACCTCGAGGGTGCTTATTCTTGAGCAGTGAATGCTTGGATGTAGGTGTCAAGCATCGAGTAGACGTATTTAATGACTGGGGGTTTGGGCCATGAATGCTCGGTGGTTCTCGAGCACGAATCCATTCGCTCGAAGGGATTAGTCTTGTAGAGATTTGATGGGAAGACACTCACTATGCTTGAATATGAGGCAAGCCATTAAATGTTGAGATGGGCTCAAAAATCCTTCCATCATTGCTAGCCTAGGTATAAATATCCCTTAGGAAGCTGAACAAAGGTACGCAACCGAAATCCATAGAATACATTGTGCTAATGACTCTAATACCGACTAACTCGAGCTTCAGAAGGGATTAGCCGGGTGTACACTCGACCCATTTCCTAATCCTTTGATTTTTTTAGGTTCATCATTCAGCAGATCGCTAGCTCAATTCATTGTAAAAAATCACCTGTGTAATTGGCACCATCTGTGGGAACCAAAGGACCAGTTTTCCTTGTAGCGGTAGTGTTATGGTGAACACACGATCCCAAGGTGAGTTGAGAGATAGCCTACGTGTGAGAAACGCGAAAGCTAGTTGGCCCCCATTGGTCATTGAATCACTCTTCGCCTCTATTAGCCTGTTAGATAGAGCTTAACGCGTCTCATAGCAGACATTATCGGTGGTCTAGAGCCTTGGGGGACAAGGTGTCTTGACTCGGGAAATAATTGAGTTGATGAAAAAACAGATGGGAAGCCGTCTAAAGCGGCTTGAGAAACATAACGCCAACGTGTGGACTTGGCTCGATGGTTTCGAATGGTCTAAATAAACTAGTTGACGAAACAATAGGCGTGGAGATCGGAGTATCCACTGGATTGATTCACGGGGCGTGAGACAGGAGGCCCCGGGGGGAAGCTTGCATTAGTGCCTTGATGAGAAGCCTGGGCATCGGGATCATGAAGGGCGCCACCCTGAGGAAAGATCTGCAGGGAGCAAGAGGCGTAAGTTGGATCTATCCTGGGGGGATCTCCGCCACAGATTCTTGGGTGGTGCAGAGGTAGTAGAATCCCATACAGAATCCACTATGAGGGGGCCTAGAAGTAAGAGGCATTGGGAGGACCTCCGTGTATGCTTGGATGCCAAGCACCGAATGGCTTTCTGAAGGGAGGATGAAGACACTGAAGATGAGCAGATTGCTTCACCATTTGTTTGAGATATCAGGGAGATCGAGATACTGAAGAGGTTTACTATCCCCCGTTTCAAGATTTATGATGGAAGGATAGATCCCGAGGGTCATCTATAGAAATATAAGCAATTGATGTCCATCTATGACACTAACCAGATGTTGCTATGCTGAGTGTTCCCCATGAGCTTAGGAGACACTACCATGAAATAGTGCGAGAGTTTGGCTCTAAAAAGTATTAGGTGCTGGAAACAAATGACCGAGCTATTTGCTGCTTGATTTGCAAAAGACCAAAAGACGTTGGGGTCTTGCTAACACTCAAAAGGAGGGGTGGTGAGACCCTTCGGCAATATGCAATCAAATATTGAGAGGAGGTGAACGAAGTTGAGGCATGCTTAAAGGCTATGGTGGCAGCGACGTTCCGACTGGGGTTGTCCCAAGACACCAATCTATACTGATCTTTGACTAAGTGATCCCTCGTGGATATGGAGGACCTAATGTCTTGCATAAACAAGTATGTGAAGATGGAAGAAGAGTTGACTATGCCTAGCCTAAAGTTCCCACGTCGAAGAAACAGGACAAGGAACCACCCATTAGGAGAGGAGCGCCGACCCAGGCTCCAAGTCGCGTGCCTTTTCAAGGGGTGAGCACGGTCTTCAATGAGACCATTTACAACATGCTTCACAAGATAAAGAAGTATCCTTTTTTCAAGTGGCCACTTAAGATGCAAGTGGATATGTCCTCCAGAGATTCGACGTCTGGGTGCTCTTACCATCAGGACGTTAGGCATTTGACCAAGGATTGCTAAGTGTACGAATCGTTCCTCAAGCAACTGGTCTGAGAAGGAAATTTCGGGGAATTCATTGATAGCTCGGCCCTTAGGGGTTTGACAAGGAAGGGAGGGAGCATGTCCCAAGGAGCAGCAATTGTGATTGAGGTAATACATGCTTGCACAATGGACATATCAACTTACAATTCACTCTGAACCAACCTCCACAGGGTTGTGCAAGCCATGAAGGTGGAGGAAACCAATTGCGGGGGGGGGGGGGGTAATCATCTAAAAGACCTCGACTTGAAGTTGAGGCCATCCATTTTTCTGATGCTGACTTCAGTGGGTTGTCCCTTTCGCATGAAGATGCCCTGATGATCACCATTTGGATTGAGAAATTTGATGTTAAAAGGATACTGGTGGACTTAGGAAGTTCATCCGAGGTGATGTATGATAACTTCTTTCATAAAATGGGTATCACCCAAAAAGAATTGAAGCCCATGAAAACCCCACTCATAGGATTCAGTAGCTTATATGCCCTTCCCTCAGAAAGGTTACCTTCATAATCACCGCCAGAGTTGTCATAGTCCCGGTTGAGTTTGTGGTGATAAACTCCGATTCCCCCTATAATGTCATTTATGGGCAGGACATGATTACACACGATGAAGGCGGCACATTCGTCTTATCATCAGAATATAAAATTTCCCATGCCGAGGGGAATCATGAAAATTCGCGATGATCAAACATCATCAAAGAGTTGCTTTTACGCAATGGTGAAGACTGGGGTTAATGCTAGGTCACAAGAGCGTGACCCCGAGGCAGCGTTAGCAAAATAACAATCATAGTTCGGTCGCCCAGGTGTTGAGGACCCCATTATGGGCCCAACCGATTGATCCATGGAGGTTCTGGTTAAGGTCCTTCTGAATCCCAAGGACGAGGAGAGGTTTTTCCTGATAGGGGCATCGTTGGTCGGCGCCGAGAGGTCTTATATGGTAAACTTCCTTTGTAGGAATGCCAATGTCTTTACATGGACCCCAACCGAGATGACAGGGGTAAGTCCCGAGGTGATATTCTATCGACTTCATGTTGATCTAGCTTTCAAAGTCGTG